CCAGACAGAATTGGGCAATGAGGTCATCAGAACTCTCGCCGGCCCATGCCAGTAAGACTGACGCAGCTTCTTTGTAGAGCCGGCGCCTCTTCGAAAGAAGAAGACTGCTTGCCCAGCTTCGAAGTCGGAGAGCTTCCTGGTTCCGGACAGAGTCGCCGATTGGAGTGCTTGGTCACAATCAGCCTCGTGGAATGCTATGGCCGCGGCTTTCCTCATCTTGGCAGCTCGGAGCATGTCCACGTCCCCGACAGCGATCAACCCAGCCACCATATGGTCAGCTTCACCTCCAGATAGGAGACCTCCAGGGAGCCTCGGACTGTAGCCAATGACTCGTTGAATTGGAGAGTAGCCTGCACGAAGAAGGAGTCGATTGCGAGTCATGATGGCCACGTCCACCAACTCGAGCCACTCTTCCTGGGTCGAGCACTTGTAGTCCATCATAGATCGGTAGAGGATATTCTTGAACACTCCACCGGCTCGTTCGGTGAGGCCTCGTTGAGTCGGCGTCTCGAGTGAACTGATGAGCCCCTCGCTGCCGTCATTTTGCACCTGCTTCCGAAACTCAGCCCGGAATTCTGTGCCGAGGTCAAACAGAACCTTCTTCGGAACCCCAAAATAGCGAATCCACTGTCTATAGGCTTTACGAATCTCGGAAGAAGATTCGGAGGCCATAGGAATAACCAATTGAAGATGTGTGTGGAAATCTATGACGTTCAGGGATGGCACAGCCTCGTTGCGGTGGTTCCTCAGGTGCACCGTATCCACTCCAACATGCTCATTGATGAACAGCTCTTCCTTCGGAGGAGCTCCTCTTCGTGCTGCAGCGGGGAGGCGATATGCTTCGCATGTCGAGCATCGAAATTTCTTCGCTTCCTCCAGCACTTCGTCGGACACCTTGGAGTTCTGAAGAATTCGAAGGAACCTGTTTTGCTCCGGGTGACCTAGTCCTTCGTGTGCTCGTCGTAGCATTTGTTGAAGTGTCACCTTTGCCATTCCGGGAAAGTGCCGAAATTGACGGTCAGCTCGAAGGTCCAGACGGGCTCTGTAAAGGCAAACACATCGAAGACCACGTTCCAGAGAAGGTTGTTGATGTAGATTTCGCCAGTTCACCTCGTCCTCGAGCAGTTGCCACCGGTCGCCTCGCCGTATCCATGAGGTCCTCCACGGAAGTCGTCGTGCTTCGTGCTCGTCTCCTGGCCGTTCCAGCTCGCCGTTGGTCTCGATCACGTTTGCCCATCCAATGCCTGCTATCTCGTGCCATCCGAGCTCATCGACAACACTTGCGTCGATGCCGTGTGCTTCGGGAGAACCGTCACGTTGAGGTACTCGGGCTGCTTCGCCAGGACGTGCGTCTTCGCCTGCATATACTTCAAGTGACTCTGGGAGCTTTGTCACGTAATCAACGTCGAAGCTGTCCGTGCCGTAGTGGTCGAGGAAGTCCGTCCCGAAGTAGTTCCGGTCCTTCTGCGCATCCACCTGGATCACCTCCTTGGAGTCAACCCAATGGATCTCTTCCGTGTTCCGGTGGATGGACTTAGCGTAAGCACGAAGAATGGCATGGACCAGACCGTTGGGGTAAATGCCGGCGGCTTGGGATACTTTCTTGCTTCCCAGGATCCAGGAGTGTTCGTGGTCTCCAGGGCAGCGTCGTTGAAGAGCCTTCTCCAAGAAAGGGTTGTTCACAGCAAAAGAGGTGCTTTTGCGATGAGGTTGCCCGTGCTCGTCGCGAAGGCCATAGGCACACTGATCAGCATGCACCCTTCTGACCCCAGGTTGCTGGAGAAGGCGCCGCGCAGCAGGATGGCTCCATGAAGTAGCAGTGCGAGGATGCTCAAGAATGAAGCTAATACCCAATGTTTGGCAAAGTTCGCACACGAACCCCAAATTCTAAAAGAGCTCTGCCTTGATGAGCTCGCTGAAGATAATTCTTGAGGGCTACCGTGTCATGTCTTCGAACGTTTGCTAAGAGATGGTTCAAGGCGCTGAAGCCATTACATGGCGGCGAGACAATGACCAGTCCCGGCTTCTCTGTCTGCGCATAGTTCATGACTGAATGCTGCATGGATGGCTTCAATAGGTTGTGACCTAGTGCAATATCAAAGGCTTTCCCAGGCTGCAACTTGAACTTCTTGGCTTTATTTCCAAAACGGCAAGGATTGAAAACTTCGCTGACAACGGAACTGTTTCTCAGGTATTGGAGCTGCACATGTGGATCTGATTCACATAGACAACGCTCCATCTCCTGGATTTGGCGTTCCGCCTTGCAAAGACTGCCCCTGAGACAGAGGCTTCTGC